GTAAATTAAAGCACTGGGACCTGTACTGCGAGCAAACGGCCAGAAAACAACCTACATAATGTTGGGGCACATCCTGGAGTCTCCCTCCCACACATTTTCACCATTGATACCGTAGAAGAGACAAACTCTTTCGCCACAGCTGTCGTGAAACATTAACGTGCCCTAGCCATATTTCATGCTTGGCAGATGGTAACTTGCATGATATCTGGTACCGATTGGGCGTGGCAAAAACTTGATTTCATCCTTTCCAACAGCAAAAACTTCGATTTGTCACTTTAGATGGCCCTACGCCACTGCTGGATTACTCAGTTCTTCTGAGCATGAGCCGAATGAAGGAGGGCATTGCGATTCTTGGCAGAAATCAGCGGCTTCTTTAGTGGACGACGTCCAAGCAGAGCTAGGCCTTCCTTATTTATTAAACCTCAGAGTAATCAAAACATTGCCGATCCTCCACAGTACGACCGCTCCGTCGCTGAAGATAATCGAAATCTGTGTCAATTTTTTGAACTCAAAGCCTTTCGTGGCAATTCCTTGCAAGCCACTCCATACACCAAACCTAAACAAAAAGGTCGAGACTGAGCCTCGATATGAACAACCGAGTGATCGAATCAGATCTCCTTAAATGTTATGCGCATAAAAAAGTGAGTGGTGCCCTTCTACAAGTCTCAAATGAGTGAGTTCTTCTATAAGTTTCCACGAAACCCCACCCGGAACCTTCCTGGAAAACATCGACTTCTGCAGAAATTCTGACAAATACCTTTCGCACATTCTAATACAACATTTCCTGCGGTTCTGATCAGGAAGAATTATGTCAATGGGCGTTTTTTGGACTGAGAACTATTGCACCTATTACCTACTGCCAAGCTGTCAGAAAAAAAGCAGAAATCACAAAACATCCTCAAACATTTCCACTCAAATCTTGAAAATGTTTTGAAAATTGGAAAAGGAACCTAGAAAAAATTTAATCTCAATATGTTACGAAACACCAAGCCTTACCTTGACAAGACGCTGCAACGAAATACCTGCTTGTTTCCAACAACCCTTCGTCAGTCTCTTTGTTACTATCGTGTTGTTCCGGACTAGAGACAGACCCATTCAAGAACTGAAAATCATGATAACGTCTGATTTTACTCGAAGGAGAATTAATTGAACAGGATTGACCAATGAGAAGTAGCTTGACATGGGACTTTGAATAGAGACCCATAATAATCGTTAGAGTTCGAATGCTGTTTATGAATATGGAAGTAAAATTGCAAACTGGCTCCCCTAACACAGTTATCGGGTCGAAAATTGCTTTACGGTAGTGTCACTTGGAAATGCGCACCAGTCGCTCTGATATCAAAGGTCGACGTGTCTCAGAAGTAGCAGTCTCGCTTCACGGGCGGAAGATGCGTGTTCGATCCCGCCACCTACAAAATTTTTGCATTGTGCTCTTCCATTTGTTGGAGACTTTCAAAATCTCTGCCATTCGTGCGAGTGAACTCTTTATTTCTGCTTTCATGTGCGCTTAACCCCCATATCCAAGGAAGAATGGATCTACACGTTGATTGTACACGTTGTACACGTTCGTACGTTTGTACGTTTGTATTATACGTTTGTCCGTTTGTCTGTTTGTATGTAACACTATCTTATATGATGCCGTTTGAAAATCAACTGGAACAGCTCAGACAGGTTGGAACAAGTGGGGAATGAGCCGAACTCCTCAGGTGCACGTGGCTCAATCTAGCTCCGCCCACCAGGGGCGGAGTGTCCCAATAGAGGCGGGGCGTGCGCGAAAGCTGTACTTCATCGGAATCTGTAACTCCTGTTCTCCTGGGCCTAGAGTATTCAAATTTGGTAGAGATGTAGGCGGCAGAAAGGGAAATTTAATGGTAGGTGATAGGTGTAGACTCCGTCCACTGGGAGCGTGGCTTCTTCGAGAATAGCAAATTTGGACCTGGAGCGTACAAATTTGGTAGAAATGTAGATGGCAAGATGGGAAAAGTAATGGTAGGTGATAGGTGTAAACTCCGCTCACTGAGGGCGGGGCTTCCTCGAGAATAGCAAATTTGTACCTGGAGCGTACAAATTTGGTAGAGATGTTGGCAGCAAGATGGGAAAAGTAAGGTAGGTGACAAGTGTAGACTCCGCCCACTGGGGCGGCCCTTCCTCGAAAATAGTAAATTTGGACCTAGAGCGTTTAAATTTGGTAGAGATATAGGCGGCAAGATGGGAAAAGGAATGGTAGGTGACCCAACAGGGGCGGTGTTTGCGCGAAAATAGCGAATATGGACCTGCCTATTATGATTCTTGCATAAGATTCCATCAAACAATATATTGGTCACGAGATCGTCGATTGGTAGGCTATCAAATGCCTACTACGACGGGTGCAGCTAAATTTCGAAGTGTAAATAAATTCCCATTCCATATCCAGTGAAATACAGGCATTCCACAATGGTAAGGGGTAAACAAGAAATTGATGATTCTAAGATTTTTTTTTAATTTTTTGGAATTGTCCCAGTTAGTATATAGGTAGATGTATGTGAATGGTTGCCAAATGCAGTTTGCTAGAAATGTGCGCTCTCAATAAACGGCTTATGACACTATTATTTAGGCTGGGAGAACGGTACTGTCCATGTTTTGAAAGAGGGTGGTTACTGAGTTGCCAAGACGATTACGCTTTAGGTTATCTTCGAGGAAATTCACTTCTGAGAAGCCATTAGACGCGCACGGTATCGTGCGCAGCCTGACTGCTCTCATAAAAAACACAGATAAGTTGAGCAGAACTAAACTCATGATGAGCGAGGCGCAAACGGAGTGTTGGGTGTATGTACAGTAGCGCTCAAAAGTATTCGGCGAAATGCTTCTTCAGTTATAATTTTTAGTCGTAACTCCTTTCCTACTGGATCTAATAAAGCGAAATTTCAACTTGTGTAGCATCGGTGTAATATGAATATTTACCACTATTAACCTGCATTTTGATCATGTTCCAAATATCCCAAAGAGCTTGAAATCAAAACCAACTGGAAATAGGAACACTGGTGCTCCTAGGGATTCTTTCCTTTTTGCCGTGTCCAAAGTGTACGAGCGCTAATGTCGAACATAGAAAAGGAGAAATACGCTAATAAGGTGCGGATAACTGCAGATGTCACAAACTTGCTTTCAGCATAGTCTACATACGCCTCCCCC